GGACAGCCTGGAGATGACCCCCATGCACGGTGAGATTTCCAAACACATGGCCATCCTAGAGGCTGATGGGTCCAGGCGGTCTGGCCCCAAGCCCAGGCTAAGAGCCTTGCACAGTCTTTGCTCAAACAGAGAAGACCGAGTCTCACTCTGCTGTTAGCCTGTCCTGTCCCAGCTTCTGAACGAGTTGTTCAGCCAAAACCACATCTTCCCAGGATGCAAATAAATGTAGGCAAATGGTAGTAGGGATCGACATTGAAGGGAAATCCTTGCCCGCCAGTTGCTTTCCTAGGAGCCGGACAATTCTGCAGGTGAGTGTAACGGGCTGCACGTGGGTTGTCGTAGTTGGATACGTCAGTGTTTACATGATTGCTGCTGGTGAGGCTCAATCAGCGGGGCGTGGTAGCTCTTGTGTCCAGTGTCCTGCCCTTTTTCCTTTGCAGGCAGGAACTACAGTCTTTTAGAAGGTGGGTTTCAGTTTCTTAAACTTTTTTTTTTAAAGATTAAAAAAATTTTTATTTGGAAGTCAGATATACAGAGAAGGAGAGACAGAGAGGAAGATCTTCTATCTGCTGATTCACTTCCCATGCTCTGTAATGGCTGGAGCTGAGCCGATCTGCAGCCAGAAGCCAGGAGCTTCTTTCCACGTGGGTGCAGGGTCCCAAGACCTTGGGTCGTCCTCGATTGCTTTCCCAGGTCACAAGCAGGGAGCTGGGTGGGAAACGGGGCAGCCGGGATTAGATCTGGTGTCCATATGGGATCCTGGCAGGGACAAGGTGAGGACCTTAGCCACTAGGTTACCTCACTGGGCACACTTTTTTAAACTTTAAGATGTATTTTTGTGAAGCCTTCAGACATAACCATCTTTAAAACTGTGTGTGTATGTGTGTATTGCAAGATCTGTCTTATATGTGTATAAAATGTGTGCTTACATGCCTGTATATATTTGCATCCAGGCACTTCCCACTCATCCGTTTGAAGCCATAATCTGTTTCCAGAAAGAGTTTTCATTGATCGCATACTTCTGTGATGTTGTCTTTATAACTTCCCCTAAGGACAAGCAGAAATAGCTCGGAGACCAAGAGAGATGTCTTATTTTTAAAAAGAACCTTGGAAAAGGAAACAATGTGGGAAGTCTCTTGTTAACTGCTGAGGCCAAATTTCTCAAAATACCCTTGTGTTTGGAAGTAAGTGGAGTAAATGTGTCAGCAGCACTTTGCATGCATCTGTGATAAAGCGTTTCAGGAGCGTACAGCACTTCGGTGTGCGAGGGGTTCTAAACCGAGCACATGGACATCTTTGGAAAGTTGCTAATTTATTGTGAACGGAAGCAGCATGTTCTTAAATGACCTGAATTAATGAGCTGATGTTAGATTCCATGCAAGTCAGGTTAATCAGTGTGTGTTCCATCTTTTATCTGCTTTATCGCTGTTTGATGCCATTTACTGACAACGGATTTCCAGATGCAGGTCCGTGCTTGTGTCAGAGAAAGGGATTTGCCATGGCAGGGCAAAGACTGCTGGAGATGTATGTAGAGAGTGACAGCAAAATCATTTTTGGGCTGTCTGGTCCAGATCTCCAGACACTATATTTTTCCTTTTAAACAAATTTAATTATTTGAAAGGCAGAGTTAGAAAGAGAGAGTACCAGGCACATAGAGCTCTTGCACCCAATGATTTACTCCCCAAATGGTTGTAACAAGTAGGGTCGGGCCGTGGTTGGGCCAGGCTGAAGCCATGAACAAGGAGCTTCCTTTGGGTCATCCACATGGGTGCAGGAATCCAAGCATTTGGGCCTTGCTGTGGTTATTTCCCAAGGCAGTTGGCAGGGAGATGGATTGAAAGTAGTATAGCCAGGACATGAACCAGTACCCGTATGGGATGCCAATAGCCAGGACATGAACCAGTACCCGTGTGGGATGCCAGTGTCTTAGGCAGTGATCTAGCCTGCTGTGCCACAGTGCCACACTTCACACGGTGTTTTGTAGTCTGACAGAGCCACTTTGGAGATGTGATGCCTGAACCCTAATAAATAATCTGAATTAAAAATTTGGTTACACAATGTTTAAAATGTGTGTAAAGCTATAGGAAAACATGGAAGGCGTCTTTTTGCATTTGCCTTATTTTCTTTCTATAGGATTAATAACTGAGATATTATATATTCAGCCAGAAGTGCCCTCCTTGCCACCTTCACTTTCCCTTTGAGCCTGGTTGATCTCTTTCTGGGCATCCTTACGTATTATTTGTGGAAATATGTGTGTCTACCAGTGCCGCCCACATAGGATCCCTGCTTTGTAAATTTTAATGTTCATTAACTATACATAATATTAAGCCACAAAAGTTATTTGCAAGAAGAATTCTGTATCCTAAAAGTTAATCATTTGCTGGCTTTTTGTATTACATATCTCATTTCCAAGCCTGTGTCGAATCAACTCTCCTTGTGCATAGTAAATTTACATGCAATTAAAATTTGAATTTCAGATGTTAAATTACATATATATTAAATCAAATTTATCTTCAACATATAAATTATTGCATTTAAATTTATTAACATACATTTTTGTGTTGTTATTTTGTATCATATTTAACAAATCAAAAAAATAACCTTCTGTATTTTCCAGTTGGAGCTTAAAATATTGTTGTTTCATTTTTAGTTCTTTAGTTATGATGTAGTAGGAGGTAGGGATCCAGATACAAGTGTAAATATTTTCTGGTCAATGAGTATTTTGGTTGCTCTGAAGTCCGTTGTTTTCTTGTCTGAATTTCTTTATCCTAAAAAATCTCTTCTCTTAAAAGTCAATATGGACACGGTTTTCTGACACTGAAACTCTTGGGCTTAATCTTACTCTTCAACAGAGAATGGAGCAATTTGCTTTGAATATCTTATAATATTCATGAATTTTGATATGTGTTTTTTAAAAAGATTTATTTATTTTAATTGGAAAGGCAAATTTACAGAGAGAAAGAAAGACAGAGATAAAGATCTTCTGTCCATCGGTTCATCCCCCAAGTGTCCGCAATGGCTGGAGCTGAGCCGATCTGAAGCCAGGAGTCTGGAGCCTCTTCTGGATCTCGCATGCAGGTGCAGGTCCCAAGGCTTTGGGCCGTCCTCCACTGCTTTCCCAGGCCACAAGCAGGGAGCTGGGATGGGAAGTAGATGGGAAGTGAAACAGCTGAGACATGAACCGGTGCTCACATGGGATTCTGGTGTGTGCAAGGCGAGGATTTAGCCAGGGCCCTTGATATGTGCTTTGTTTTCCATTAAAGGAGGAAAGGAATATATATATATATTTAAGATTTATTTATTTTTATTGGAAAGTCAGATTTATAGAGAAAGTAGAGACAAAGAGGAAGATCTTCTGTCCACTGATTCACTCCCCCTGTGGCTGTAATGGTCAGAGCTGAGTTGATCTGAAATCAGGAGCCAGGATTCTTTTCCGGATCCACCATGTGGGTGCATGATCCCAAGCATATGGGTGCAGGGTCCCAGGAGTTTGAGCCTTCCTCTTCTGCCTTCCCAGTCCTCAAGCATGGTGCTAGAAGGGAAGTGGAGCAGCTGGGATACGAACTGGCACCCGTATAGGATCGTGGGTGTGCAAGATGATGAGTTTAGCCACTAGGCTATTGCACCAGGCCCCAGGGAATATTAACACACACACACACACAAAATTTGGGAGGGGCTGTATTGTGGTGTAAAGGGTAAAGATGCTGCATTAGAAGTTGGCCTCCCATATGGGTTCCAGTTTGTGCCCTGGCTGTTTCACTTTTTTTTTTTTAAAGATTTATTTTTTTATTGGAAAGGCGGATATACAGTGAGGAAGATCTTCCGACCGATGATTCACTCCCCAAATGAGTGCAACGGCCGATACCATGCTGATCTGAAGCTGGGAGCCTCCTCCGGGTCTCCCACACGGGTGCAGGGTCCCAAAGCTTTGGGTCATCCTTGACTGCCTTCCCAGGCCACAGGCAGGGAGCTGGATGGGAAGCGGGGCTGCCGGGATTGAACCGGCGCCCATATGGGATCTTGGGCCGTGCAAGGCAAGGACCTTAACCACTGTGCCACCGCACCGGGCCCGGCTGTTTCACTTTTAATGCAGCTTCTTGCAAATATGCCTGGGAAATAGCAGAAGATGGTCCAAGTGCTTGGACCCCTGTGTGTATGTGGGAGACTCAGAAAAAGCTCCTGGGTCCTGGCTTCTTACCTGGCCAGCCCTGGCTGGCAGCCATTTGGGAGCAAACCAGTGGGTGGAATGCCTGTGTGTGTGTGTCTTTCAGAGAAATAGATAATTTTGAAACAGAGATACTCAGTGAAATAATTTAATTATCTCTGTTCTAGTTAGAGGCTGTGTTCATTCACTATGTCATTCCACATTTATTGCTGTTGATTGTATGCAAATGATTGCATTAGACACAAGGATCATTCGCTGATAAATATCATTGATAGCGTAATCAATACTGAACCGTGATTAGTCCTGTTTTATTAGTTACAGTAGAACTGGCTTATATTGACACTGTGCAGATTGGCGAGCAAGTAAGATGATCTTTTGTAAACCCAACCTAGAATTTCCAGCTGTGTTGCATGTCCTCCTGTAAGGAGCCTGGGAGCCTCTAGGGCAGGCTCATAACTGGCAGACTTCTGGGAACTTCCGGCACCTGTGAGTACCCAGAAGAGTGAGGGAGGAAGAGCTGGGTGGCGCTCACACCCTGGGAGAAGCCTGGAGTTCAAAGCAGGTTGAATTCAAAGGCTTAAGTGCAGAGGTGGCATTGAGAGACCGCGTGGGGCTCCCTTGTTTTGGCGTCATGGTTCTGCAAGCTGCTGGGGAGGACTCCTTCCCCTTAAAAATCTGAAGTCCAAGTGGACTGGGCGTGCGCCTCTTCCTTTGCCATATCACCTGTTGTTTAGTTGCTCAGACTGGAATGACGCTGTGGCTGAACTCACAGTCTCATGGGAAGGCTGTTGACAAAGCTTTATCTTACATTTCCTGTTCTTCCATTTTCCTTTAGGTTTTGTGAACGATTCTGTTACTAAATCTATCGTGGCTTTGCGTTTGACTCTGGTGGTGAAGGCCAGCACCTGTGTGCCAGGTGAGAGCCATGCCAACGACCTGCCTTGCTCTGGAAGAGGGACGTGCAGCACGAAGCCCTCGGAGGTGAGCAGAAGCCTAGCAGTGTGGACCAGTCTGTTTGTATAAATGCAAACCCTTGTATTCATGTGTGTGTGTGCATAGAAACAGGGATGGATGGGAGAGACCAAACGCATCTGCCAGAGAAAACTCACCAAATGTCTGACTTGAGTTATGTATCAGTGGCAAACATGTGGTTATATAAATCTCTGTATGATTTTTAAGATGCTTGGAATGAATTTGTGCATGAGGGTCTTGCAAGAAGTAGTCATGATGTCTGGCTCCTTAGAATCAAAGGAACTAGAAGAAGGGCAAGCACGCTTATTACCAGGTTGCATAATTGTGGCCTACAAATGGGTTGCATTTCCCCAGGGATGATAACTACCTACAGTAGAGAGAGTTAAGCAAAGGGACAGATGAGTGGGGGGGAGGGAAGGGGAGAAGCTGTTGGAGTTAACGTTAAGTGGGAGTGGAGCTTTAATCCCCCAAGGAGCGTGGTTTATTGTAGACCGACTTCAACATTTCTGGAGTGACAGCCCCTTGTGATGTGGGTGCATTTGGTGATGTGACCCCGAGCTTTGCCAAGTGAAAGCCCTGTTGGAAGAGCCGTGGTTTTCCTATCTTAGGTGTGATATTGGAGTTATTTAAGCAGACCGTTTTCATGAGCGAGAAGGCAGATTATGATCAGAACCTGAGTAGCAGAAACCATGATTTCTGCAAAATTGTTGCGAAAGAGCACAGAAAATAACCAAAGTCAAACCACAACTCTGCTTTCGGTGAGGGCGGGTGATGGAGTCGGCACACTAAAGGCAGCAGGGATGCATGGCAGGTGCTTCTGCACAGCTGGTGTGCCCGTTCCCTCCCAGCCTCGGCTCTCCTGTTTCTGCCCGCATGGACTGTTCTGCTTCCTTTGCTGAGGACAAACCTCGGTGTGTGTCAGGAAGAGAAGAAGTGAGGAAACTGAGCGTTCTTCTGTGACAGTCAGTGCTAGGGAGAGGCCAACTTGGTGAGGGGCAAAAGGAGGAGCGGGAGAACTTGTCCTACGAGGGGCAGACCAGGAAGAGCCAAGGATGTGGGTTGGAAGAGCATCTGGCCTTGCTGGGGCACATCCACCTGTTCCCAGGGGACAGTCTTAGGCCCGGTGAGCTTTGGAAATGATCCTTGTGGCAAAAGATCAAGCTGATCCATGAGGAAGGGAGGGCTGTTCTCAGAACTGCTGGCTGACAAAGTGGTAGAGTTCCTTGTGAGATTTCTTTCCTGTCGATGGCCTTTCTTTGTCGTGTTCAAGGCCATGTCCATGCCGTTGCTGACCATGCCACCGCTGACCATGCTCGCTTGGGGGTGGCCACCAAGCCTGGGACTCTGCCGCAGGAATGCTCTAACTGTGAGCTTCTACTTGGGGGCTTGGCCTGGGCTCATGGAGAACGCAGGAAAGGGACTGAGCACCTGGCCATTGACTTGGCACATTTTGCCCAACGTAGGGGGGAGACTTCAAAACACAAACTCTGAAGCCTTGGTGAAGGATCCGTCCTTGCAGAGAGAGGGTGTCTTCCTCAGGGGCACCAGCTGCTCGGATGCCTCCTCCTGCGGCTGCAGCCCCCGACTTGGCGCCACTTGTTCCTGCAGCGTGGAGCCTCTGCTCTTGACTTGATGTTTACCTTCAGCGTGTTTCAGGACACTGGCAAGTAGTGTTCTGTGAGCTGTTGTAATTGTTCTAGGCAAGGAGCAGGCTGGATCATCCCTTCTGAGACCCACCATTGCTGTTTTTTTTTTTTTAAAGATTTATTTATTTGAAAGCCAGAGTTACAAAGGGAAGGGAGATGAGGAGATACCAGTTTATTTGCTAGAAGCTTGCAAGAGCCAGGGCTCAGCCCGGCAGAAGCTAGGAGCCAGAAGTTTCATCCAGGTCTCCTTTGTGGATACAGGTGGCTGAACCCTTGGACCACCATCTGCTGCTTTCCTAGGCACATTAGCAAGGAGTTAGATTGTAAGTGGGACAGCTTGGATTTGAACCAGCAGCCCTTTCATTTTTATCTTGGAAAGAAAAATCTGGTGTGACCTGGGCCACCTATGGCAGGAGCAGGGGAGCAGGAAGCTGGGGTACCATGTTTATGTCTACCTGGTTACCATGGCTCTTAGTGATTCTACTGTGGCTGCTGTGGTGCCATAGGAGTAGTTTGGTAGCCATGAAAGACTTGTTGTCATGTGTCCTTCTTTTTATTGTTTCCTAAAATTAGAAGTGATATAGTCCCATCTTCCAGCCAATGCAAGAATCTAATTCATAGTATAAAACAAATGAACTGTATTTGGTGATTTAATTTTATTGTTTCTAATCATTTTTGTGTCTTTTTATTAGAACATCCATCAGAACAAACATAACGCTGTTCTTTCTGCAACTCCTGTCATTTGGTAATGGAACTCATTTCTTTTCTGTCGGCCTTCCTTGGCCGGGGAATATTTCTCAATTGCACGTTGATGGGTGGCTTGTGAGAAAGCTGGAGCTTGTTGCTCTTAGCTCTGGCACCTTTCTGGGAAGGTCTTTTCAAAGGTTTCCTGTAACACTGGAAGGAGTTCTTGGTTTCTGAAAACTGCTTTTATTACAAGGGCTGATTCTGAGCTCCTTAAGAAAAAAAAATACTTGTCTGCTGGCCACTGTTTGTCGTTGAGCTTGGTCCCCAAGGTGGCTTGCCTGGCAGCCGCTGCCTAGCTGATCACTTACTGGTTGGTTAGTTTGCAGGTAAATATCAGGGTCCACACGGGGCTCTATGCTGGGCTGATTGTTAAGTCTTCTTTACATCCAGATTCAATGTAATAAATGTTGTCCCTCATGGGCAAGTGGGTATCAGGTAGGGTCTTCCAGAGAAGCAGACCCAAAAGGATAGGTATACTGAGAATTTTTTAAAAGCACATGTATTGAAAGGCAGAGTGATATGCAGAGAGAGGGAAAGACAAAATATCTTCCATTTCCTGGTTCACTCCCCAAATGGCCACAGCAGTCAGGTCTGGTCAGTGCGAAGGCAGGAGCCAGGAGCTCTCTCCAGATCTCCCCTGTGGGTGGCAAAGGTCCAAAGTACTTGGACCATTTTTCACTGCATCCCCAGGAGCATTAGCAGGGAGCTGGCTTAGAAAGAGAGCAGGTGGTACCTGAACAGATGTTTCAGTATGAAAGGTGGGATTGCAAGTGGCATTGTTGTGCTACAATGCTTATCTGAGTGTTTTAAGAAATTAGCTCTGGGGCCGCTTTTGTGGCATAGCAGGTTAAACCCGTTTGAGTCCCAGATGCTTCACTTCGAATCCAGCTCACAGGTAATGTGCCTGGGAAAGCAGCAGCGGCTCTTCTAAGTCCTTGGGGTCTTGCATCTATGTGAGAGAGGCAGATGAACGTCCTTGCTCGGGACTTTGGCCTGGCCCAGCCCTGGATGCTATGGCCATCTGCGGAATGAGCCAGCACATGAAAGATCTGGCTCTTTCTGTCTGTATTTCTGCTTTTCGAATGCATAAATAAATTCATCTGTAGGGAAAAAAATGGGAAATCTGATGGAGGAGATGGGGAATCTTTCACTCAGAGCAAAGCAGCTTGCGTGCGAAGACGCCCTGCAGGCTCCCTGCGTTCAGAGAGGTCAGCCTTTGGTTCCTCTGTGTCTTCAGCAGACTGTGTGACTACATCCAGAACACCCTGGCAGGAACATCTGCTATCAACTGTGGGGGGCACCCAGCTACACTGGTATTGTTGTTCCCTGTTGCCCATGCCCACCCAACTAATCTCTTGCACAAAGCAAAGGGAGTTGTTGGAGTTGTTTTGAAGTGTAAGTTCATGGAGCCGGCATGGTAGCATAGCACATGAATCCTCCACCTGCGGTGCTGGCATCGCATATGGGCACTAGTTCTAGTCATGGCTGCTCCACTTCCCGTGCAACTCACTGCTTGTGACTAGGGAAAGCAGTAGAGGATGGCCCAAGTCATTGGGACCATGCACCCACGTGCAAAACCTGGAAGAAGCTCCTGGCTTCAGACTAGTCCAGTTCTTGCCATTGGCATTTGGGGAATGAACCAGCAAATGTAAGCTAGCTAACTTTCTTTCTTTCTTTTTCTTTTTTCTTTGTTTCTTTGTTTCTTTGTTTCTTTCTTTCTTTCTTTCTTTCTTTCTTTCTTTCTTTCTTTCTTTCTTTCTTATCTGTAACTCTTTTGAGTAAAAATAAATAAATAGTTATTTCAAAAAGACATTAGTTCACCTAACAATAGCGTCAGGTCCCTGACACATTGCCGCACTCAGGCCCCTCATACATATTCTCACTGTGAGGGCTGTTGATTCTACTGTGAAAGTGGATTGCAGGCAGTGCTTCTGGAAGCAACGGTCTTGGGGAAGTGCTTACTGGCAATACGTTCTGGCTGACTCCCTACTGGGAGGCACAGCAGTTTTCAGTGAAGGATTGCATTGCTAGTCATTTCAAGGTCGTCTAGAGAGAATCCAAAGTGAGTGTTGGGAAATATATAGTGATTCAGGAACTAGAGTGTCATGTTTCCTGGCCTTGGTCTTTACCAATAAGTCGTTGGGACTGTGTCTCCATTTCTAGAACATTCCCTAGAAATCTCTCATGATCTTCTCGTAGGAATCCATCACCTGTGGGCTGTTAGGATGGGGACTGGGACTTTTCTTCGAGGAAATTTGGCTGGTGTCACTCTCAGTCTCTTTCAGAGTTTGTATCTTAATTCTGCCTCCGGATATGGGTCTGTGCCTGAGAAAGGCACTTCCATATCAGGCTGCTGGAGTCCTTGGGTCCCCTTTCTCGCTTGCTATTGTTATCTCAGGCTCAGCCCCAAATCTTCCTTCTTCCAGAAGCTGTCTCCTATGCACCAGGGTGAAGTAGTCACCCCTTCTGAGTCCTATAGCGCAATCCTTGTTTGAAAGTATGTGTGGCTTCAGACTGATGCTGTGTTTTCACGAGTTCGTTATCATCTGCTTGTGCTTCTTGCAGTTACTGGGCTCTCAGTACTCTCCTGGGCTCTGGGGGACACAGCATTAGTCA